GAGCTACCTAATAGCACTTTCTGTGATGATGCTAATGCTTTACTTCCACAATGATTAGTATGGTAGCCCCTAGCCACACATGCCTGTTAAACACTTGAAATATGGCTAATGCAACTAAGGAACTGAATTTTAAGTATTTAATTTTAATTAATTCAAAAGTGAGTTAAAATTACTATTTGTGGGTAGATGGCTACCACATTGGACAGTGTAGCTCTGGAGGGTATTTATATTTTGGCTTTGTGATGGCTCCCAGTCTAGGGATTTCCTGGTGGGTTAAGGGCGGGGGGGGGGGGCGGCGGGGGTACATGTGTCAATGCTGCCTTTGTTTAAGACCCAACTCCAAAGTGACTGCGAATCTTGGCATGTAGTCAGTTCCTTAGCTACAGAACTGTAGGTAGTTGGCCTTGCTGTTATGGGAAATAACGACTATAAAATGGTTACTGTTTTTAAATTATCATTGTAGGTTGGAGATCTCATTTATGGACAATTTGTGGTTGCTAATAAAGATATGGAACCAGAGATGGTTTGTATTGACAGCTGTGGACGAGCCAACGGAATGGGTGTGATTGGACAGGATGGTCTACTTTTTAAAGTGACTTTGGGCTTAATTAGAAAGTAAGTCCTAATGCTTTCTAGTTTCCTGGTCTTTTATAATTATACCTTCTTGGAAAGCCAACTGATCTTTGGGATTTGGATTCTTTGTAACAACATCTGAATTTCCTCAATTAAAAAATCATTATCCATTTAAGCATACTTGTAAACTCAAGCATTTAGTCCCATCTTCTCTTAATGTAAATACATTGTATTCAGATGTACTTGGTGGTCTAGTTTCTGTGCTGATATGGAGTCTGGGCTTCCTCCTGGTTTACTATTTCTTATAGCTGATTTACTCAGCCCAAATGTAAAAACTGGCCTTTCCGCCCTGGCCAGGCGGCTCAGTTGGTGAGGCGTCATCCCCTACACCAAAAGGTTGTGGATCTGATTCCTGGTCAAGACACATACCTAGGTTATAGGTTCCATTCCCAGTCGGGGTGCTTAAGGGAGGCAACTGTTTGATGTTTCTCTCTCTCCCTTTCTAAAAATCAATAAAAACATATCCTTGGCTTTGGGTTTTTAAAAATTAAACACATAAAAACTGGCCTTTCCCTCCTATGTCACTTTAATAAAATGTAATTTATACAAAATCACCAAATTTCTCTAGTAATGGGAGCAGTGCAGGTAGGCTGATGGGATCCGTGAGCTTATGCAGACATTCACAGAAGACTTCTGCTATCTGTCCTGATAGATTTAATAGTTCCCAGCCCCGGCAGTTCAATTGGTTGGAGCATCATCCCGTACAGCAAAAGGTGGCTGGTTCAATCCCTGGTCAGGGTACACACTCAGATTGCGGGTTCAATCCCCACTCAGGGTGCGTGGAGGAGGCAACCAATCAATGCTTCTCTCACATTGATGTTTCTCTCCCTAAGAATCAATTTTAAAAAAAGTTCCCAGAGGCAGATTCTGTTAGGTGTTTATACTTTTACCTACCCAAAGCTGTGCCCTCTTAAAGGGTTTTATGTACTTGTAGATCCCGAAGTTCAGAGCTCTTGCATGACTCTGCTACTTATTCTGCAGGTTTGGAGAATTAGTTCAGGTTGTTAGAGAAGCATGTTACTAATCAAGCAGCACCCTTGTGGTTTGAAAGAGCAAACGCTTCTTTCCAAGTAGTGAATTTTATACCAGGGATTAACTTACATGGTCAGGAAAGTAAGTTTAAGGTGTTCTTTTAGCACTGTAGATAATTTTTAAAAGCTATGGTCTTAAAGCCTAGAATTAAGGTGCTCTGACAGTGTAGGGGAAGAACTTTATATGTTTTTGGTAAAGTTGATGACACAGGGAGTTTGATTTCTTTGTTGAGACTAGTGGCACTAGCCCACCTGTGACCTGATATACTGATCAGTGTAAATCTTCTTAGAACAGTGGTTCTCAACCTTGGCTGCACATTAGAATCACCTGGGAATCTTTTTAAAATCCTGATTTCTGGGCCTCATCCTCCGGAAATTCTGTTTCTTTGTTATGGGGTGAGGCCACAACATTAGTAACAAAGAAACAGAATTTCCAGAGGATGAGGCACAGAAATCAGGATTTTAAAAAGATTCCCAGGTGATTCTAATGTGCAGCCAAGGTTGAGAACCACTGTCTTAGAAGAAAAGGGGCAGTAAATGCTGTCATGTGCCTTTAATTATTTGAATGATGTTAGTGGGGCTTTAACTATGGAGAACTGCCTAGAAAAGGAGTCCTAAAGGAAAGTTAGGTCACACTCTACCACTTCATTAAAATTTCATTTTCTTTCCTTTTCCTCACCAGGCTGCTAGCTCCAGACTGTGAAATCCTACAGGAAGTGGGAAAACTCTACCCACTGGAAATAGTGTTTGGAATGAATGGAAGAATATGGGTGAAGGCAAAAACCATTCAGCAGACCTTAATTTTGGCAAACATTTTAGAAGCTTGTGAACATATGACAGCAGATCAAAGAAAACAAATCTTCTCCAGGTTGGCAGAAAGTTGATCTATGTGGATTTTTTTATAGTTGATCCAAGAGACTGGATTCCCTGGGGAAAAATTTTTCAGGTGAACCTGTCCCCATTAATCTTCAGAAGATAAGATATTATCTTATGTGAGTCTTCAAATATTTTTATAAACAAGTCACTGGTTGCCACTCATGTTCTTGTGGTTGAAAAAAATCATAAAATAGTACTATTTTTTCTTTTATAATAAAGTTTACTAAAAGTTAGTAGTATGATTTACTTGGTGTTAATTTCCTTAGTTTTGCTGGAAGTAACCATTGAAATAACACTTATTTTCTGATAATAGTAAAACATGTTCATCAAAGAAAATGTAGCCGAAACCGGTTTGGCTCAGTGGATAGAGCATTGGCTTGCGGACTGAAAGGTCCCAGGTTCGATTCCGGCCAAGGGCATGTACCTGGGTTTCGGGCACATCCCCAGTAGGAGATGTGCAGGAGGCAGCTGATCGATGTTTCTCTCTCATCGATGTTTCTAACTCTCTATCTCTCTCCCTTCCTCTCTGTAAAAAATCAATAAAATATATTTTAAAAAAAAGAAAAAAAAAAGAAAATGTAGAATACATAAAAAGTATGAAGCAGCAAACAAAAATCACTTGTAATCCTATTATGTAGTGGTGAGTATGTAACAGCTAACAATTATCATATATTTACAAATCAAGTATTGTTCCAAGTGTTTTGTTTGTATTGACTCATTTATTCTTAGTAACTGCAAAAGACAACTCCCTAGTGCAAGAAACTGAGGCTTAACTTGGCCAACATTCTCAACCACTACATGTGAATATGTTTTTCAAAATGGATTTATAGAATTATATTTTATATACTAGTCTGTAATATACTTTGTCCAAACATTTAAATATATTTCTTTCATGATTGCTATTAAAAATTCCATAGTTGTATAATGCTTCATTTTTGTGTTACAGGATATTTTGAAAATGTCCAGCTTCTTGTTTTGTTATAAAAAACACTATGATGAGGATCTCTGAATATAAGTTCATCCAAGTCTTATTTTGCCAAGGGTCATTTCCTAGAAGCCAAACAAAAAACTACCTACCTAGGTTTTGAAGAAATTGTAGATGTTTGTGATCGAGTTGAAGAGGAAATTCTATGTTATTTGGGATTTTAAGCAAAGCCTTTTGAGGCCAAAAAGAAGCCTGGCAGCTGACCCAGGTCAGTGGTTCTTGGGTTAGAGACTTCCCTGAGAATATGGTAAGAGTTACAGACCTCTGAGGCCTATTCATAGAGGTCCTCCTTTTTGGATGCATAGGTTATAGAACTATGTTGATAAAGACCAAGGAGCATTATGTACAGTGGGGCCTTGACTTACGAGTGTCCCGACTAATGAGTTTTTTGAGATACCAGCTGTGTCTTTGTCAATTTTTTGCAAATTTGAGTTAACGAGCTCGGTCTCGGAACCTCTGAACGAATTAAACTCGTAAGTCAAGGCCCCACTGTATTCCTAAAGATGTTTCCTAAAGACTAGGCTGCTCTTAAGTAATCAAGTTCATAGTTCCTGGGGGATTAAATTGTGAAAGGAAGGAGATAGAACCCAGAGGTAATCTTTTGGTTCTTTTGAAATAGAGGTTACATTTTTTTCAGTTTGCTAGCAGTTTAGAAATAAGTTGACCGACATAAACTGGCCATAGTAACTGAAGCAACTGTATCTAAGTAGGACATGAGAAAAGGGATCACTGAGATTTGCATCATAAGAGGCTCTCTGACATGCTTGTGTGAGATGCAATGTGTTTTCTTTTTTTTAAAATGTATTTTATTGATTTTTTACAGAGAGGAAAGGAGAGGGATAGAGAGTTAGAAACATCGATGAGAGAGAAACATCGATCAGCTGCCTCCTGCACACCCCCTACTGGGGATGTGCCCACAACCAAGGTACATGCCCTTAACCAGAATTGAACCTGGGACCCTTCAGTCCACAGGCCGACGCTCTATCCACTGAGCCAAACCGGTTAGGGCTATTTTCAAGTTAGACTTACCAGTACTATGTTTTTGCTTTTCAATTTGAACTGATAATTCAGATGTATGTGCAAAATCTAGTTTGTACAAGGCTCAGAAGGATACAAAAATACTCCCACAAATTGTCCCGTAGGAAGGCTATAGGAAGAGAGAAGCCTTCCACACCCATACTCAGCACAGGGAAGACAAGGTAGGAGACATAGGTGGGGAAAATTGCTATGGGGGCTTAAAGAGGGCTAGGTTAGGACAGGCTGATCCTGAAAAGCACATTGTACAGCACATTACTGAGTTAGGGAAAATCAGCATGATCAGAGCAGGTTGGACAAAGTCATACAACTTTATGATGCCACTTTGGTGAAAATTAAATTCCTGATATCACAATATTTAATTATTTAAGCTACTTCTAAAAGTAGATTTTTCACAAGTAGATGTAGAAAAATAAATTAACACACCCAAAGCCATGTAGTTTAAGGGCTAATTCCTTGTTATGTAAACTTTTTACTTAGTCAAGATAAACAGGGCACTTCCTGTGAGCTAGGCACTATAGGAGATACAAAAGAGCATAAAATATGGTCCCTGTTATTAATAACATCCTAATGAAGATCCGAGACGTCAAGTAAAGGCAAGTATGTGCCATCACCACTTTGCTCTCCTCTTTGGTCAAGGCCCCTCCAGCAACTTCACCTCCTGCAGGTGCACTCTTAGGATGTCCATCATTCCACTGAGTTCTGAAGAACATAGCCTTTTCTGGAAGAAACTCCTTTCTTCAATGCTTCAGGCCAGTTTTGAGTCTCAAAGTAAGTGGACAGGATATCAAATACTGTTAGAAAGGTAAATAGAAAACACAGTGACCACACACTGGAAAAAAAGAACTAGTAAATGACTAATGAAAAGGGTGTTCTTGAATATTCAACCAACCTACTCTGTACCACACCTGGTATTAGATCCTGGGGAGACAGAGGCAAAGCTACAGACCCTGCTTGCCCACAAGCACTGCCTACACTGAGAGATGTAGGCGTATAAATGGACAATGCTGCAACAGAGAGGAACACAATACAAAGGAAGGGTTGGTTCCGATGTGGCCTGGGACAGGAAGAGGAGGAGCCAAAATGCCTGTGAACTGAATCCTGAATTCACTGTCAATGATGGGTTAAAGGCAGGGCGTTCTAGGTCAAGGCAACAATTTCAACTGTATTTAACATAGATCGGAATTAGGAAGAAAATGAAAAATAGCTTTGAGAAGCCAGAATACATGTCACAAAGTGCATGCAATAAAGTACAAGTACATCAGTCATGGGGGGAAGCTGCGTCAAGGCCATTCATACTTAGGCATGATGCAAAGAAGCACCAGAATTAATTAACACATTAAGCGTGGGCCGTGTGAGCTGTACCTTGATTGATGGCCAATATCTCTGAATGATAGTTTTTCTCATTCTGGCGTCTGACCATGTATTCCTGGATTGGCAAGCGGGCTGTCTTGACAGAGTGTTCTCGGGCCTTTTGAAATGTCACCTTCTGTAAATAACAGTTAAATATTTTTCTTTTAAAAATAATACATGAAAATATTTTCATGCATAGCAAATTATGAGAATCCCCATTTATCACTCTAATTTCATCTATAATTATAATTAATGATAAATGTATTAAAAAGAAGTAGCCTGTTATTAACCATGTCACCCCAATAAATTCAATTAAAAAAAGGAAAAAAGAAAAGTAACCTGCAGATAATTAAGAGTTCTGCAGATAGCCCTAGCTGGTTTGGTTCAGTGGATAGAGCGTTGGCCTGCGGACTGAAGGGTTCTAGATTTGATTCCGGCCACAACCTGGGCATATGCCCTGACCGGGAATCAAACCAGTGACCTCTTGGTTCCTAGGTCGATGCTCTGCCACTGAGCTACACCCGGCTCGGCTATTAATGTCCCTTTAAAAATGTCCCTACCCTAGCTGGTTTGACTCAGTGGATAGAACATTGGCTTGTGGACTGAAGGGTCCCTGGTTTGATTCCGGTCAAGGGTACATGCCCAGATTGCGGGCTTGATCCCCAGTGTGGGGCGTGCAGGAGGCAGCCAATCAATGATTCTCTCTCATCATTGATGTTTCTATCTCTCCCTCCCTCTCCCTACCTCTCTGAAATAAAAGTACATTTTAAAAAACAAAAAGGTGTATATAAAAAAATGTCCCTGAATCATGAACTGAAGTTTATATTTGCTACCTTATAAGAAGCTGGAAAGGTACCTTTTTGCAAATTCCAGGGTTCAAGGGAAAGATTTAGATTACTGGGATAATTAACATACTCAAGTCTGGAAGGGACCTCAAGAGTTAACTATTCCCCTCCAACCACATTGATTGGTTGCCACTTGCACATGCCCCAACCGGACCAGGACCGGAGATCAAGCCTGCAACCAAGGTATGTGCCTTTGACTGGAATCGAATCCATGACCCTTCAGTCTGCAAGCCAACCACTGAGCAAAATTAGCTAGGGCAGGAAATTCTTGATATTGAGCCAGTTTTCTGTTGTTTTTTTCTGAGACTTCCACTCATTTGTCTAGTTCTACCCTCCCAGGGCCACAGCAAGCAAGTAAAATGGCCCTTCCACAAGACAGTCATTCAGATACTTCAAGCAGGATCATGCCACTATGAATCCTCTAGTCTCCAGACTCATAGTCTCAGTTCTGTCAACTTCCTTGACTATGACTTAGTTTTGAGTCCCTTCGTCATTCAGGTCAACCTCTCCTGAACTTGTTTTAGCTTATTAATGTCCTTTCATTGACGGTCCCATAATTGACTGGGCACCTAAGTATGGTCTAACCAACTGGAACAGCATGAAGCAGGCCTAGCACCTTCTTTGTTCTGATACCTGGACTACACCCCTCTCAGACTCACTTGAGACACAGTTCCAATAGAGAACTTCCAAAAATGTTTTAAGTAATGTGATTCAGATGGAATAAGGGTACAGTTATTCAAAGGACTTCTTTGAAGGACAACACTCCTTGCATATATGAGTTATTATTGTCTTTTTTTTTTTTGAAAGTCTATTCCTTTTTAACCACTTTGAACTAGCGTATAGAATTAAAAGTTAGTAGGAGACTTGGATGCTGCCTTGGAGGAGACTACTGTCTAGTGTTTGTTCTCTGAACATTTAAAGATAAAATGATTCCTCTTGAAGAGACATTTTTCTTAGCATTTTTCTAAGAAGCCAAATTCCAGTAACAACCAAAAAGTTCCATTCATCTGACAAATCTCTGTGCCACTTATTTTTCAGTTTAAATGTTGGTGGAGAAAGAAGGTAAGATGCTGTGTCAAAACTACATCTATAGCTCATACTCACTGATCCTTAGACTTTGCTGCCTCCAAAAAGGGGCTGTCACTCTGCTATGGGAGACAGCATTTAACTGTTGTCTTTTAATCTCCCTTAAACTAAAACAGCCCCCCCCCCACTCCAACTATTTTAGTTTTTACTATTACACTGGCTTTTTTGAAAGTCTGGCCCAGTTCTCTTGCATAATGTCTCACATTCTAGATCTGTTTTCTCACGATTAAATTAAATTTAAACATTTTCTGTAGGAATACTTCTCAGGTGAGATTCCATCTTATCAGGAGGTACCTAATGTCACTATTGGTGATTCTAATTTTGATCACTTGGTTAAGATGGTGACCTCCATGTCATTTCATTGCGATGGTACATTGCAATTTGTGGGGTGATACTTTGAGACCATGTGAGTAGTCAGTTTCCCCCAACCTTTCGTTCAATCAATCCCTGAATCAAAGATTGCCCTAGCAGTGACAAAATACTGATTTCTGAATTTTAGGCATTTCTCATTCTTAGCTGGCATTCTTAAGAGTCCCCCTGCCATTTTTTTAGATTATCACTATGAAGTCAGAGAACAATGACTATTTTAGAATAAATGCAATTCAGTTAAATATCATCTTGTTAAATATGTGTGCATCTTATACATATATGAAATAATATATAAAATATGCTCATGTGAAAAACATATATATATATATGCAGATATCAAACAGATACTTGTGTGATCATAGACTATCAAGGGATACACAAGAAAACTGGTTTTCTCAAATGGGGACACTGGGGGACAAGGATTGGAGGGAGACATTCTTTTTATACATTTTAACTATTAACGTCATTCTTTATTATCTATGCAATGCTAATTAGAAAAATAAACAAAATTATCAAAAATATTTATATACTAGAAACACATTAAAAAACTCCAATTATGCCAATACAATTCCAATTCAACAAAAGAAATCTGGACAAGTACTATTGAGGTTGAGCTTATAGGACTTATGTCAGCAGGGAAGATGGGCTAAGGAGGAGCAAACTACTCTCTCACCAAGAACACACAGCTAGTAAGAATGCTGAGGCAACACTTCCTTGGTCAAGATCAGAGCTATTCTTACAGAAATGAAGAGAGGAGAGGAGAGGAGTTCCACAGTGGCTACTGATGTAATTACCAAATATTCCCAGCCTGGGTTCTGTCAGGAAAGCACGGCTTACATTGCTGAGGAGAGAGTGAATTTCACACGAGGAAGGGCCAACTCAGGCAGAATAGGCTCCTTCTTTTTTAAAAAAAAAAAAAATTTTTATTTGTTTTTTACAGAGAGGAAGGGAGAGAGAGAGTTAGAAACATTGCCAAACCGGTTTGGCTCAGTGGATAGAGCGTCTGCCTGCGGACTGAAGGGTCCCAGGTTCGATTCCGGTCAAGGGCACGTACCTCGGTTGCGGGCACATCCCCAGTAGGAGGTGTGCAGGAGGCGGCTGGTCGATGTTTCTCTCTCATCGATGTTTCTAACTCTCTATCCCTCTCCCTTCCTCTCTGTAAAAAATCAATAAAATATGTTTAAAAAAAAAAAAAAAAAAAGAAACATCGATGAGAGAGAAACATCGATCAGCTGCCTCCTGCACACCTCCTACTGGGGATGTGCCCACAACCAAGGTACATGCCCTTGACCGGAATCAAACCTGGGACCTTTCAGTCCACAGGCTGATGATGCTCTATCCACTGAGCCAAACAATTTAGGGCTCCTCCTTCTTATTCCCTTAGTGTTTCTAGGCCGTTTGGGTAAGATTATTACAGGGTAGGTGTCTCTACAAGTAAGGACCATTTTTCAGAATACAGTTTTTCAGCCAAAAAATATACACTTACCTTCTGAATGCTTTCGTCCACAAGTCCACCAAGGATGTAAACTGTGTTTAGATCAACATCTTCAAGAGCTAGTGAAGAAATGAAGGCTAATGAGATCAAATCTTTATAATTTCTAAATCCAAAGAAAAGTAAAAGGAAAGAATGAAAAAAGTAGGAATTTCATGGAATAGAAAACAAAGATAGATTTTCTAATCCTCTGAAAAACAATTAAATAGATAAACCTTTGGCATATCTTATCAAGGTAAAAAGGTAGTAGACTCAAATCAACATTAGGATTCAGGAAGGAGACAAAATTAAAATTACAAAGGAATGTGAAATGAAGAATGTGAAATGAGAATATGAAGATCAACTTAATATCAATAAACTTGAAAATTATGTGACATAGATGATTTTCTAAAATAGATGATATATATCTAATTGATCCAAAAGGGTCAATGGAGGGAGCTGACCAGGGAAACTAGCTCAATACAATGCTACATGATCTGTGCAGTCAAGAACTTACCATGTTCTGAGTCAGGAGTCAGGTACACAAGGGTTTCCAGGGGGAATATACTAAAGCAGTCTTCTTCTGTTATGTCTAGCTGAAAAATACGAATAATCCAATGTACTGTGAACTAGGTTAAGACATAGCCCACGGTGCAGCAAGGGGCTATATGTCTGACAACCTGTTCTTAGAAAGTGCTCAGCTGGGGCGGGGACGTAGAAAGGCACAGACATGCAACCCTATGAAATAAGGCAGAAAGTATATGGGGCCCTAACAAATATACAGGGAGCATACCCCAGGACTACGGATGAGGGAGGGACACCCCAGAGACAACCTTGTAGTGAAGGGAATGCTGGAACTGGGTTTCTGAAAAGAGGTGAGACTGACACAACAGGAAGAAGGACTCAAAGTGGAGGGAATCATACTAAGGAAGGCATGGACAAGGGATTACATGGCCCTGAGATTGGGTCTCTTTGGTTCACGTGCAGGAATCAACAAACATGCACAGCAGAAAGTAAGGCTGGAAACGGCTGCACTACGGGAGGGACTGTTAAGACAGTAACAGCAACCATGACTGATGGTGCAGCACTGCATGGGGCACTCTTCACACTCATCGCCTCCATGGGCCTCCCTGGGAAAGGCCACACTGCCCAGTCTCAGCTACACAAGGGCATGCTTAGTGGCATTTCTTAGGGACTGATCTGGATTCTTACCTGTATGTCAATCACTACACGTATGAGATCCCATTGAAAGTTGAAAAGCAACTTGGTATTCCCTAAAACTCATCTTAAATCCATATTACTTCCATAAGGATTCTTTCTCTTCCTCCAAAACTGTTTCCTAATTCTGCATCGCCGAGAACAAGAAAGGACTCATGGCATTTCTCCAAAACATCCCTGGAGTACACAGTCTACATACATTATATAGGACACAAAATGCAGTCCTATATACTTTTTGCCAACATGGTGGAATGAAGAAAAAATTTAAATATAAGAACTGATAAGTGGTTCTTAAATTAAAAAAAAAAATTTTAGATTGTAATAATGAAAACACAATTTCTCAAAATATGAAAAAATAAAAAAATTACCCCACAACCTATTTATAGATGATAATTCAAATAATATGCAAAATGAGGCTTACCAGGTAACTAGAAAAGCCATCATTCATCCTCAAACACTCTTCATACAGGGGACTGTCTGTTGTGAATCCAGTGAGGCAGATCCAAAATGGCCTGTCCGCTTTCTTATTCGAACCATACAACCTTCGGATCTGTCCAGCCAGCCTGCTTAGTTCCTTCAAAGAAGTAAGAACAACTTAGGGTGGAAACATGCCCTCTTTTTCTAAATTCATGTCAATAAATGGTTAGTAAGTTCACTGAGTGCTACTCTGGAAAATCTCATGAACTAGAATGACCCCCTTCACTCCAGAAGTGAGTACATGCATGTGTGAGTACGCATTACGCCCCTGGCATCACCTTATAGATGACAATGAGGTAATGATACTAGCCAAGAAACAGTGAGTTAATGGGAAAACTGAGACCGCCCCCTCCTTCAGGACCTGTTGTTAACATATCTAATATGATATATGAAATTGTTCTTTTAGCTTTTATCTAAAATCTTACCATGTGATGTTTACTATTTATTAAAGAGAGGTTAGATTACTATGCAGGCATTTTTATACTCCATCAAACAAACTTGGCACCTTCTCCCTTACTCTAGGAGATGTAAAGGATTGGGAGTTTTAACTTTCCATCCTGATTCAGAAGACCTCACAGTCTGGCTTGCTTTTGTTCATAGCGGAGAAAAGGCTGTGAGTTTGATTTAATCTGGTATCTCAATAGAAACAGTAGAAAATCCTTGGTTGACCTTTTCAGAGGGCTGTAGTTAGAGATTCCTACAAATCTTCAATTTTCCTAATTTCTCGGAAAAACAGGCAAACCCTAGCATATCTCTACTAATAAAAGGGTAACATGCTAATTAGACCGGGAGACCTTCTGGATATCCTCCCAGACAAAGCCATGGTGGCGGGGCCGAGGCAGAGGCGATTAGGGGCAATCAGGCCAGGAGGGGAGGGCAGTTAGGGGTGATCAGGCTGGCAGGGGGGGCCAGTTGGGGGTGAGCAGGCCAGCAGGGGGGGCCAGTTGGGGGAGAGCAGGCCAGCAGGCAGAGTGGTTAGGGGCAATCAAACAGGCAGGCAGGTGAGCGGTTAGGAGCCAGCGGTACCAGATTGCGAGAGGGATGGCCAACTGCCGGTTTAGGCCTGATCCCACCAGTAGTCAGACATCCCCTGAGGGGTCCCAGATTGGAGAGGGTGCAGGCCGGGCTGAAGGACCACTGGCCCCCTGCCCCACCACTAGTACTAATACAACAGGGGTATTGGGAAATAGAAAAATTTGTTTTGTAGGTTAAGGCCTAAAATTAAGGCCCAATAAGGTTTGCTGCCTTGATATCTAATGAAATTGGGTGAGCCTTGAATGGCCCAACTGCAAGTTCCTCTTCCAACTCTGCTCCCACGGATAAGGTCCCATAGCCAACAATCCTTTTTATCCAAGGGACGAGGTGTAGTTCCTGATTATCCCTGAGCAGTGGGTTTTAATTCCCTGCCAGCCCACAGAATTATTCCAACAACCAATCCCATCTTCCTGCAGGAAGCAGGGGCACCCACCCTCTTGATACTACAGAGCCTGCCCCCACAGTGCCTGGCTGTTCATTCTGTTCCCATGTGGCCCTGCATGGCATGCAATGCCATCCTCCCCCAGGGCTGAGTATATCTATATATATAAAAGCCTAAGCGACTGTTACAACCAAACGACCGGAACGACCGAAATGACTGGAACGACTGGTTGTTACGATGTACACTGACCACCAGGGGGAAGACGCTCAATGCAGGAGCTGCTCCCCCGTGGTCAGTGCATTCCCACAGCCAATCTCCCCCTGCTGGCCAACCTCCCGCGGGTGGTGGCGGCAGACACGGCCCCTTTCACAGGAGGGCCTTGGGGCTGGTTTCATCCCTCCCTCCCCTCAATTGGCCTGCCACCCACCCACCATGGTGGCAGCATAGCAAGTGAGGGAAGGAGGGGGGAGAGGTGTGAACCTCACAGTGGCAGGGCGCCAACGGGGGTGTTGGTGTCCGTTCCTTCTGCACCTAGCCCGTCGCTTCTTCTCTCGACCCCGCTGGAGCCTTTGGGCTCCAATTGGCCTGGCTCTGATCAGCCCTGATTGCCAGCCAGGCCTAGGGACCCCACCCGTGCGTGAATTTCGTGCACTGGGCCTCTAGTGTGACTAATAAACTGCTCTTCATCTTATCTGTTCAGTGTTGAGTGCCATGTGGTCAGCCAGCCCCAGAACCCCAGAACCTGTAGGGTGAGTGGGAGATCACTAAAACACATACATTGCAGGAAGACATGCTACCAGGTTATCTCCACACAACACAGAACCAGGCAAATATCCCTCTCCCCAGCAGAAGACCAAAGATTTCGTCTCTGGAGAACTGAAACTGAAAGGCTGTAACTAGACTGGGGACATATGAACACAGAGGCAAAGGGTTGATCAGGAATTTGGAAACTAGTGGATGTTCTACCTTCTTAGACATGTGGTGGGTCATACTTAAATCGATACAGAGTCTTGGTCCTGAATGTTTGGCTTCCAAAAGTTTCTCCTTGGTTAAGGATCTCAGAAAACGTTTGCTGTGCTGGGGGTAGATGCCTAGAGTGGAAATATCAGAAAAAATATATAAGTGGGAAAACAGAGGAATAATATTCAGTAAGAAACAAATCTCCCCAGCCAGGTGAGTACTATTTGCATAGGAAGAAAAACTAGAAACTTGAAGTTTGTGCCAGGTATTCATTCATCAGGCAGTTTAGGTATAGCAGAGGGGTGATGACTGTGGGCTCTGGAGCACTCTGCTGGGTCTAAATCTAAGTTCAGTTTGTTCATTTATTACTCGTATCAGCTTAAGCATGTTATTTAATTTCTCTGAGCCTCAGTATTTTCACCTACAAAATGGGGATAATAAAAGACCTACCCTTGAGGGTAGTCAAGGTAAAATTCTTAGCACTGGACCTAGCACATAGCTGTTGGTACCATTCCTTCTACTTCTGAGCTTATAAACACATATGTATGCTATATAGTTTACATCTGAAAGGCAGACTTCAATTTTGTTTTCTTTGATACTTTGATTCCCAACAAAATGGGACTATAGGTCTCACCTCCCAGATGTTTGTTTTTACTTAAAAACAGTATTACTATTCTTCTAGGAACATACAGATACCAGTTTGCTAACAAATAAATATAATTATACCAACAACTTGATTAATTGTTACCTGAATTTTCTGTACGATTGGCTTTTCTCCTTTCTTTTTCTTGCTTTCTTTTGCTCTTCTTTGCCGCAACTATCTTTTCCCAGTGTCTCTGTTTTCTTTGGACATTTTTCTTAGGTTATCCAGAAAACAAAATGTTTGAAAACTTCATAAGCACCAAAAAGGAAAATGAATATTAGAAACAGTTACTTATTTGTTTTAAAATTTAGGTATAAAGGTAGGAGAGAAAAAGGATGGTAGATTTAACAACAGAGATGGACTAGATTGTGTTTAGAGAAACCAGAGCCCCAGAAAGACATGTGACCTGTCGGGCCCAAAGGAGAGTTTGGATTTTCTGACCCTTCTGAGGTGTATCAAACAGACGTCTTGATCTGAAGCCTTAGACCGGTTAGCAGGGAATTCAACCCTTGGGATATACCAAACTCACTCCCAGTCTTCTTGTTACTGGTATCTCCCCTTAAAATAGGGGTTTCTGGGACATTCCATCATCTCACAGCCCATGGCCACCCACTGCACTCACCGAGCACCAGGTGGCGCTGTCCGTGGGCAGGGTCTCCCTCTCCCGAGGCTCACACTCCACATCCATCTGTAGAAGCTGGAAGCTTTCAGAGACACTATCTTCACCTGTGTCCTCTGGGATCACTTCCTGCTCCGGCAGCACCTGTGACTCTGTTTTCTGAGCACTCCCTTCCGAGTTCCAGTCCATGTGCTTGGCCCTCTGTCCTTTCACCCAGGTTGGAAAAGGCACAATTATGTGAGACATTACATTATTGCACTTACAGAGGTATTCCCCTACATCCAAGCGGCAGACAGCGTTATTGTGTTACTGAAGGAGAAGTGCGTAAAATACTAACATGGGTTTATTGAAAAGTACGTGTGTCTTCCAGAGAAATGAGTCAGCACCGAAACGCTTCAGTAGTAAGGGAGCCAAATCCACCTCTCAGAACACAAGCACAATCCTGACACCTCCCAGCAATCGGTGACTCACTGCTGCGGTGACAGAGAAAACCAAGTTATTTATCATGTTCTTTGAAATCCACTCATGAGTTGAGGGTGGGACAGAGATGGCAAAAGCCACCTCCCCTCTGTTTCAGTTTATTTTCAAAACCATTCCTTTATGATGAAAAGCAATTATTTATTGAGTACCTACTATATGCAAAGTTCTGGACATCCTTGGAGGATGAAGAGTGAGCCAAAAAATATGGCAAAGAGTGGCCCCAAACCAACCAAGGATCCATCTAGGTTGCTGCTGGTGATCTATCAAAATTTGTTTTTCCAAATTACATATTCATTCCCTCATCTCAGTTCAGTATCATTGCACCAGAAAGCCACAGTCACCAGCGGGAATGTTTACTATCCCTCGAAGTGCTAAGGAAGAAAAATATAGAGAACCACTCTAATAGCACTCCTAATGAATGTCACAGTTTCAAAGTGGTATTCGATATCCCTAAGATGAGTAAAAATGCTCTCTAGTCTACAGGTGTCACAAAGAATGGTATGACCCTTGCTCGTGGCGGCTCCTGAGTCCATGTGCTACCACCAACTTAGAAAAAGTGTTACCTTTGAACAAGTAAATCTATGTAATATGATCCACATGGTAAAAAGATTTTTATGATAAAAGTGATGATCCTCATTCTGACCCTTTCCACCTCTAGAGGCAACTCTTGTTAACCAGGCATTTTTAGTTCTGGTGATTAGCCCCTTAACCTGAAATCACATGCTTACACCATTACTTCTTGATTCATCAACTCTGAATTTTATCAATTCCCTATGAAACACTAGAATTCAAATACTGAAATTAACCCCTTTTGCCCTGGCCAGTGTGGCTGTTTGTTGGAGCACTGTCCTTTGCACCGAAGGGTTTGGGTTCAATTCCTGGTCAGGGCACATACCCAGGTTGTGAGTTTGATCCCCAGTTGGGGCATGTACGGGAGGCAACCAGTAGCTGTGTTTCTGTCTCTCTCCCTCTCCCTTCCTCTCTCTCTGAAGTCAATAGAAACATATCCTTGGGTGAGGATTTAAAAACAAAATTAACCCCATTTTTTGTTTCTGTTAGTTATCTTAATCTTTAAATTTTTTAAGCCATAATTTATTTAGAGTAGAGAGATTTTTAAGATTTGAAACTTATGTTCATTTTCCTCCCTAGGCTAGAGTTTACTTTTGCTTAAAACTCTGTTCTTTAATAGTCAGTACACAGTTTAGTATATGTATATATACCATTGACTGTGTCACTATGAGTTTATGGCATACAAAAAATGTAATAGTGTACATAATAATCTAGAGAAATTAGGAAAATACCAAGTTATTCTTAAACATTTCAGAAGCACTGCACTGTTCACATAGGAATAGTGATGTTAGTTATAAATATCTTTTTTAACAAAAGATATCCAGCCCTAGCTGGTTTTGCTCAGTGGATAGAGCGTTGGCCTGCAGACTGAAGGGTCCCAGGTTCGATTCTGGTCAAGGGCACATGCTAGGGTTGTGGACTAGATCCCCAGTAGGGGGTGTGCAGGAGGCAGCCAATCAATGATTCTCTCTCATCATGGATGTTTCTATCTCTCCCTCTCACTTCCTCTCTGAAATCAATAAAAAACAATTTTTTTAAAAAGATACCTCGCTCCCTCCAGATGACTGAACACACTTTCTATGCCAACCACCAGTGTCATCTGCATTTTTCTGCACTTAGGCATTCAAAAAAGAACAAACGAAAACTTTAAAATAAACTGGTCCAACACCTAACAACCTGAAAACAAATGTTAAATGAATGCTAGTTTGTTAACAGCCATGTGGTCTCTTCCTCCTCTGAACTCCACAGTATTTTGCATTCTTATCTGTGTTTGTCCATTCATTGAGTCAGTAAATATTCATTGGCCCCAGCTGGTTTGGCTCAGTAGGTAGAGCGTCAGCCTGCGGACTGAAGGATCCCGGGTTCGATTCTGGTCAAGAGCACATACCCAGCTTTCGGGCTCAATCTTCCTCCCCCTTCCTCTCCTAACTCAACAAAAATATATTTAAAAGAGACCCACCTCAGAACAAAAGACTCACACAGGATGAGAGTAAAGGGATGGTAAAAATTTAAAATAAATAAATAATATTCATTGAGCTCCTCCTCTGTGTCAGGACCTTTTGGGGAATGACTGGGAGGCAATGAATGTCCTCACTGGAGAAGTCTGTCTGAGGAGAAAAGAGAGACAGGGGTGAAGTAGCGGGAGGGGGTGCAGTTTTCCGTCGCTGTTTTAAAAATTGGAAGGTTAATGCTCATCTCTTTTCTCCTACCAAACTGAATTCTTTTTCAGAAGGAATATGTAACTGCATCTACCTAAACACTGAACAGTACAAAAAATCTTTGAACGGCAGTGTTTAAATAAATACTTGCTGAATAAACAGAGTTTTACTACCCCTGCCTCCATTTCCTTCTTTCCTATCCCCACTCTTTGTATCTGACCTCTCTGAATTCCTATAGTCCCTGGGAATGCTTTTCAGACCAGGAACGTGGGAGACAGTGATCTTGCAAATCAAACGGAGGCAACTCCAACCGCTACCAGACGAGTCTGTAACAAAGCAGGCTGGGCATTCCTGAGCACAGGGACCACATCTTGCTCATCTTCGTATCTTCACTAGCTATCACAGGCTTGGCGCAGAACGGAAGCTCAGTGCACAGTGAGTCGAAGCTTACCACCTAGTGATCCTTAGGGCATCACGGAAGCACAGATCTATCAATTCATGTGAGACATTATGCCCACATTTAGCATTTTACTTCTTCATTAAAAAAAAAAAAAATGTTTCCTGAGCCTCATTACGGGTCCAGTGCTGGGTACTGAGGTTACTCAGTTACTCATTTAACTAATAGTTAAGCACTTGACTTCATAGCACTTGCTGAGGATTCGGGGTTGATACTTACTCTGCCTTCGTGGGGCTGCAATGACCTGACTCAGCCTTGTATGACAGCTGGTCTGCCTGTTTCCCCACCAGATTACAAACAATTGCAGAGAAGAGAGGGTGAAGAATTCACGGGCACACTCCCAGCACTCAATACGGAGCCTTGCAAAATAAAAGCATCCTATGGGATTGATGATCATCCCTCTTCTGCTCAGCACCACTCTGGATCTCCATTTCACTTACGGTAAACAGCCAAAATCTTTACAATGGCCTGTACTGATCACTCAGGTCTACCTCCCCCGTCTACTGTCCCCTGCCACCTGATCTACTTGCCGATCCTCAAACATACCAAGGATACTCTCACCCCAGGGCCGTTGCCCTTGCTGTTCTCTGTACCTCCAATATTCTTCCTCTAGTCGAGGTAATTATGTAACTACATTTCTCACTTCATTCAGATTGTCACTATCCAACGTGGCATATATTTTACTTAGTTTTTGTGGGAGCGTCCCCATTCTTACAACTTGACCAAGCGTTCTGTTTGCTTGTTCACTATTGTATCCTTATGCCTAGAAAGGGGCTTGGTACATAGTAGATGCTCAATGAATACTCGCTAGCTGAATTAATGCATCCACTTTCTCAATAGCTAGCTTCCCCGTGTGAAGCATCCTCAGTCCTGGCCTGTACTCCCCGCCCGCCCGCCCCCCCCCCTCCCCCCCAATCTCCGAGTTTTCTAACTCAAGTCCCACCTGATTGATGAGCATATCCCTGGGCACTCAGTGAAGGACCAGCCTCTGCTGGCATGCTCCTGTCATTTTCTCAATCTAAATTTTAGTCCACGGAAGCTGCTCCCCGCCTCTGGCATCTTTAGACCCCAGGCCCAAAGGTACCCCGCCTGGCCCATTGGCTGCGAGTGCGAGGGGAGGCAGGAAGGGAAGGCACCAAGGTGCGGGACACCAGGCCACACAACTGTGAAACGCTGTTTCCCCGGCGTCTTCCCTATCCGCAAACGCGGCAGCACTCAGGGGCCAGACTCCAGACACCCAGAACCCCAGGCCCCCAGACCGCCAAGCCCTACCCCGCCCCGCCACCAGACCCGGGGTACCTGATCCCAGCACCTCACGCAGCGGCAGGGCATGTCAGGCCCCGCCTCCTGACCCACTTCCGGTCCTTGCCCCTTTCCGAACGGCATTCTGGGAGTTGTAGTTTTCAGCCTGACAGCTCGTTGTTCAGGAGCGTGATCGGAGGTTTGGTCTTCCTAGCCTCACCCAGGCACTAGGGAGCTCGGTCGCGCCTCTCTGAGCCTGCTTCTCCGCCTGATACACGGGATTACAATCCCAGGTGCTTGCAGACCGGCAGGGCTGCTGCAGGTGATCAGGCGCTTTAATGGCTATCAAAGACCGGGCATTGTGAAACTGGGCTGAAACCAGACTTAAACCACCTCTCATCTCGCCAGCCTAGGGGCTTTGCCCGTCTCTGAGATTCCCCACAACCAGCAAGGCCCAGGAACTGACAGCCCTTCCCTGAGCACACATTCCCCTTCACCGGTCCCTGTCTGTCCAGGCTCACAAGAGAGATATCCGGGCCTGAGCAGATAAGGAGTCGGTGGGGAAACTGAGGCTCAGAGATATGAAGTGACTTGCCCAACCCTTGTCCTGATAAAAGCTATCAGCCATTCTTTTCTTTATTCCTCCAGTCCTAGGGTCTCACCCTTTCAGAGAGACCCTACCATGAATGAGCTTGAAATGTCTCCCACCCAAGAAACCACAGCCCTGTTTGAATTCCTTCTTGGCCCCCCACTGTTACCACTCTAGACTTTTATTTCCTCAGCAACTCTCACCCCATCCCCAAGCCATGCTCCAATTCAGCCTTCGTCTGGGACTGGAGCAATTTTTAAATGCTGACTAAACATCCCTCCGTCCCCCGCAAAAGGCTTTTTCTAAAACCTAACTCTAATGTCTCTTCTCTACCTAGAAGCTGGACCTAGCTTCCCACTTAGCAGGGCTTGCAAAGTGGCTCAAATGGTCTCCAGGGCCTCCCACCACATCTACGCCTTGCACTCAGCCATATTGGATACCCTTTGCCCCTCTCTGACACTGCTCTTATGTCTCTTTACCTTTGAATGAGCTCGTGGCTACTTCCCCACAGCAAAGGCCTCCTAGCTGGTTTCACTGCCTGCTCCCCCAGCCATCCATCTGCAGACCCCTCAGTGGCTTTCTATCATACTTCGATGTAAAATCTGACCTTCCCAAGGCCTTGCACAGCCTGGTTCCTGGCTGCCCCTCCAACCTCATCTGTCACTCTTACTCCAGATTGATGTGTTCCAGTCACACCTGTCTTCTTCTTCTTCTTCTTCTTCTTCTTCTTCTTCTTCTTCTTCTTCTTCTTCTTCTTCTTCTTCTTCTTCTTTTTCTTCTTCTTCTTCTTCTTCTTCTTCTTCTTCTTCTTCTTCTTCTTCTTCTTCTTCTTTAATTGATTTCAGAGAAGAAGGGGGAGGAAGAGATAGAAACATCAATGATGAGAGAGAATCATTGATTGGCTACCTCCTGCACGCCTCTTATTGGGGATCGAGCTGCCGCAATCCGGGCATGGCCCTGGCTGGGAATTGAACCGGGATCTCCTAGTTTATAGCTCGATGCTCAACCACTGCGCCACACTGGTCGGGCACACCTGTCTTCTTGAAATGCTTCAAACACACCAAAGACCTTTGGAGATACTGTTCCCTTTTCTCTCACTTTCTCCATGGCTGGCTCCTTCTTATCCTTTAGGTTTCAGCTTAAACATTCTTTCTTCAGAGGGCCTTGACTGATCACTCTAGGTAAGATTGGCTCATCCCACCCCATCTTGGCATTCTCTTCATTTTCTTTATACCACCTATCAGTCAGTCATCTTTTTCTTCTGTGTCTTTATTATAAGTTCCTTGAGGGGAATATATGATGTCGATGATTGTATTCCCAGTGCCACTACACAGTAAATATTTGTTGACAGAATAAACAACTGAGTGATTTTTTTCTTTTCTTGACACATCCAAAACTTATCTTCCTATCTATCAAATCTAGGGCATGGCACACAATAGCTACTCAAAAATATGTCCTGACAA